AAGGAAGGAAAACGCCTCGGCGTATATTAAAATGAATATGTATGTCGAACTGGTGTATGTAGGCGTTGTGGGGGTTAAGCATTGGGGGCGGAAAGCTTTTGAAGGGGTTTTTGGCCCTTCCGTTTTTTGAGGTTGTCCATTTTGTTGTAAAAGGAAAATGCCAAAAAAAAAGGCGCACATAAGCGATGAGCAGATAAAAATAACAGAAATATGCCAATAAGAGAATGGTCGAACGATCTAATGAACATGCGTGGGTCGGATAGGCACGTTCTGGGCCCCTCACCTGCGCATGCATGCAGTGTTGCATACACCTTTGTTGCCACAAAAAATAGTTTCCTTTTTCAAGAACAAAATCGCCTGAACCGTTCATAAAGAAAAGGTGTTTTTTTTTTTTTTTTTTTTTTTTTGAACAGTCATACGTTTTGTAAAAACATGCCAAGTTAAAAAAAGGCTAGCTGGAAGTGTGTGAGGAAGGGAGGATGTGAACTTTCCATTGTTCTTGTTAACGATCAGGAAGTGCGTAAATCTAAGAATACACAAAAAGGGGTTTAAAAAATGTATCTCCCATTCCGCACTAGGCCAACCGCCCAAAAAGGACTTAGCTGGTTGGACGAAGAAAAAAATTGGCAACTGCATAATAACAGCTGAAATGCAATTTTTTTTTTTTTTTTTATTTTTGTCAAACCTGCCTGTTCTTATTGGCCTATGTTTCTGATAAATTTTGAAAAAGAAAAGGGCTACGCACACTATAAGGGGCTACCACTCGAAGGGGTTGAAGGCGCATAACCGACACTGTGACCATTTAGCTACACAGCGCAGAAGAGTTAACCACCAGGCAGTTTTTACCCTTTTGAAAATAGTCCTATGTCTACATACTGTGTGCGCTGTGCTGAATTAGCGTGTTTGCATTTCCGCGCCTGCGTTGTGTAAAAGCGTGCATCCTTGCAGTGCGCGAGTAAATTGGAAAACAAAAAAAAATAATATAATAAAATAAAATAAAATAACACGAACAGAAGAACAAACGAACAAACAAGCAAAGAAGCAAAACAGATTAAACAGATTAAACCGAATGAGGGGAAACATTTGAAGAAAATACGCAGCGGGGAAGCAGTTCATTCACATTGCATTTCTCCACTCTTATTTTTTTCCCCACGCCCATTTTTTGCGTAGCAAATGCAGCAACGCGTTCGCACTGAAAAGTAAAATACCCAGCGCATGCGAAGGTTGCATGTGTATACACGCGAAGGAGCATTCCTGCGTGTGTGTAGTGGTGGTATGCACAAACGAATACGCGTTTCCATTTGCTAACACTTTTATTTTGTGCATCCCCATTTGCGAAATAAAGTTTGTCAATTTTCCGTTTTGCTTGCCCCCAACTGACGCATGCGTGCCGGGGTATTTATTCTGCCCATTGGTGAACAAGTGAAAAGGGTGGAGCGGTTTACATTTTCTGCCACACGTGCGACATTTTTTTTTTTAACTTGGTTTGCCGCTTCACCATTTTGGGATTTGTGTGCGTCGTTTTGACGTGCCGTTTTTGCACTTTGCCGCTTTTACCATTTTGCCGCTTTTACCATTTTGCCGCTTTTACCATTTTACCATTTTGTCACTTTCACCATTTTGCCGCTTTACCATTTTGATCCGTCCGCTTGTGTATGTTTCAAGGCGCGGTTATTGTCCTTGGCAACTGACATCTTTAAAAGGGGCGAAGTTAGGCGCAAAAAAAGGAGCAGCATAAAGGTGGAATACGAAGTGGCACGCCCCACCGCTGTGTAACTCTGCGCGTTGCCAAGCGAAACATGGGTGACCACGAGAATGTACTCACACTGGAAGAACAAGAAGAACAGCTCTGTTACCTAGACAGGTACGACGTAAACGAGCTAATCGGAGGAATAGATCACAATGACGCAGATGCTCAGTGCAACGAAAGTAACAGCGTATGCGAGTATGAAGTACCGTTCCTTCTGTGCAAGGGGGACAGCAACATGGAGAGCAACCGGGAAGAGTCTGAAAGAAACTCCATAGTCAGTTACCTCGACGATGGAGCGTCCACTATCATTTCGAAGCAAGATGAAGACAACGCAACGGAAGAAGATTCAGTAGGAAAAACAAAAACAAAAAAAAAACAAATAAACCAAGTGAGAGGGAAAGGGAATGGGAAAAACGAACAAACAGCAAAGGAAAAAATTAACATTATTTTTATACCCAGTGATGGAAGTGGACTTGAAAACTTTGAAGAAATTCTCTCCATGAAAAATATGAACAGTGAACATGTAGAAAAAAAATTAAACGAAAAATTTTATCAAATATGCTGCAAAAGTGTTGCAGATATAAACACATACAATTTAAGTAAAGTGAGGAAAGCAAGTGAGAGGCAAAGAAGGGGGACTCTCCATGTAGAACACATCGATTATGGGGACATTTTTCTCTCCATAAGGGATTCCGTGACTAGGAGGGAAAGGAGAAACAACAGGAACCTTCTTCTGCGGGATGACTCACGTAGGCAGCTTGGAGGAAGGAAGGAGCATCAACAGGCATTACTGGGTAAGAGACAGGTTAAGAATGCGTACAATTATCGCTTTAACGGTGGGAACTTCTTCAAGTCGTACAGAAAAAAAGACACTGTTTATTGTCACCCCATTGGAGATCGTGTTATAGAAAAGGGAGCTAGCTACTCTCGTAGGAGGAGAAGAATTGCTGCTCCATATATCCATCACCACTTAGCAGGCAATAAGAGGAGGAACTACGTCCCCCCTGCGGACGATCGGCATATCGTTCCATATGATGAAGTTACTCTCGAGGACAGGAAGTTTGTATCAAATTTGCATATAAACGGGAGTGGGAAAAAACAAAATGTTATGTACGCTGCGGGTGAATATGAGGAGAAGAAGGGTTCACCTTTCTCAGGAGATAAAATTGCACCGAACAATGTCCTCACTCTTTCGGGGCGGAGCCCACGTGGTGCAGATGAGAGACTCCAGGAGGGGAAAATAAGTAGAAGTCTCCTCCCCCCTGTGCAAGAAGAAATACATTTCTGTGAGGAGCATGTTGGGGGGGAAGAACAGTATTACCTCTCGAGGGGGAACAACGATGAAGTGGCACATCGTGAAGTGACACCACGTGAAGTGACACCACGTGAAGTGGCACAGCGTGAAGGAAACGCCACTACAATTGTGGAAATTAGCCAAAGGGACAAACAACCACAGGAGCAGGCAGTAACAAATAATGCATTGGAATTAAATTTAGTTTTTGACTCCGGGGGGGTTCCTCCTCCCGAGGAAACATGCAGCCAGGACGCGGGTGCTGAAGAGAAAAACGACGGTTATGCATGTTGGGCGGATACCCAACCAGGTGAGGAGACAGCAGAGGGGAATGGCGCAGCAGGGGATGACGCGGCAGGGGATGATGCAGACGTGGGAAAAGGGGAGGAAAGCACAAGCCCTCCCATTCATGCTCACCAAACGGAAGCAAAAGAAAACACTACACCCAATGAGGAGAACGACAGTGAGGTTTGCCATTGGAGAGAAGTGGAGGGTGCATGTGACGAATCGGTAGTCAGTTTGAGGAGTTTGAAGAAACCAGGAGGGGATGAAGGAAACCCCTTTTTATCCAGTAGGGAAGAGAAAGAATATTTTGACCTGCTGGTGAGAAGGTATGAAAAGACGAAATTGTCTCTGGACGGCAGTGAGGTTTTGTCGGTGAGTGTTAGCGATGCGCCAGGGGGGGCGGCGTCGGTTGCTTCGGTCGCGTCGCTCGCAATGGTGCAAGATGTAGAAGTTGAAGTGGCTGAAAAGGTGGAGAAGGTAAATGAGAACTTTGTGGAGGAGCCCAAGACGGAAGATCGAGCGAGTCAAAAGGGTGGGGAAGAAGAACCAACAGGACAACTCTCAATGGATGGCGCACCGGATGATGAACCGGATGAGGACACCCCCCAAATAGGGAGGTACGAGGAGCTGCTCGAAAACGACATGTGCGATTTGTACAACCTGAAGATGCACGATTTGAAGACGCTAAAAGAGTGCGATTTTGGTTCCTCAAAAAATTTACTCATAAAGGATATCTTTATGTGCCATGGGACCATGTTGAAGGAAGACGAGGGTCCATTGGACGCTGTGGACATGGAGGATGCAGCAGAGGGGAGAAATGATGAATCAATTGATGAAGACGATGGTGAAATTAAAAGCTTCTTAGCGAAACTGAAGGCAGATGTGAGTAGCCAAATAAATTTGAACAACGAGGACAATGAGCAGGCATTTTATTTATTAGATTCTATGCATGCGAATGATTATAACAATTATTGTGATGGGGGACACGACCTGTTCCAGGATGATCTCAACGAAGGAGAGAATTTTCCTGTGGGGTCCAAGTTGAATCTGTCCGATTTGGATGATGACGTTGGTGGTGGCACGGGGGGTGCAGGGATGGATGCTGCGGTGCAGGCTCGCACCCCGGGAAGAACAGGAGGAGGATACTTGTGCGAGACCCCGAGGAAAATGGAGGAAGAGAAAAAGGACACCGAATGTCAAACAGAGTTTCCCCTCGATTTTTCAAGGAATACAAACAGAACCCCAAGAAAAAAAAGTGTAGAAGTAATATTAGTGAAGAAAAGACTTAAGAGGATGAAAGAGGAGAAGGATGATGAAGAGGTACAGGAGGGACAAAATGAATTGGGAGTGAGTCACACAGACCCAAAAGCTAGATGTAGAAGGTACCCAAAGAGAAACAGAATTAAAACTTTGCGTTACTGGATTGGAGAAAGGGAGCTTACCAAGAGGAACCCATACACAGGGGAGATTGATGTTGTAGGTTTTAGTGAGTGTACTAATTTAGGAGATCTGTCTCCTCATATTATTGGTCCAATCAAATATAAGACTTTGAATCTGAGGGACATGTATCCTTTGAGTGCAGATGAGGAGGAAGGTGCACGTCATCGTGATGGGGGTGACTCTGTGAATGGCGACTCTGGTGATGAACTTGCTGGTTTCCACACGGATGGTCACGCAGATGTACGAGTGAAGACACATGGCAGTGATCATCTGGGGGTGGGGGAAAGCAGGAAGAGACGCAGGAGCGAGCAGAAAGGGGCACTTAAAGGAGATGATAATGGAGAGAAGGAAGAGCAGCATAACTTCGATCGAGTGGCCACGCGACTGTCCAGCCGAAGCGACAACGCTTCCAAAAAAAGGAGGAAAAGGAAATTCATCAACATTGTTAATTATATTAAAAAGAGAAGAAAAAAAAAGTTGGTCAAGAGTGTTGACAAGGGGGAGGGAGAGGAACAGGCGGCGCTGCTCACCAAGGGGGATGAGAAGCAAGTTGGAAGTGACCTTGAGCAGGGTGATGCGGCAGGCAATGCGGATGATCCTGCCGGATGTGACAACCTATTTCACGATGCGGGCAGCTGGCACTTCGATGAGGACGCATCGCCAAGCGAAGCGTTACCGGGAAAAGAAGCATCAAGTGAAGAATTACCAAAGGGGGAATCGTCATACGAGTTGCCACCCGTCGAAGGGGCGGATCAGCTGGTTGCCATTGAGGGAGGTTTGGAGGAGGTGGCCAAAGAGAGCAAAATGGAAAGGGAAGACGAAGAGGTGAAGGGAGCAAACAGCGACGGGAGTAACGAAACCACCAAGGACTCTGTAAAAAACTTCTCCGAGAAAAGGGAAAAAATGCAAAACAAGAAAAAAGATGGAAAGGATGAAAAAGACGAAAAAGAGAGAAGAGACAAGAAAAAGAAAAAAGATGAAAAAAAAAAAATAAAAGAAAAAAAAATCGATCAGATGTATAAAGAGTTGTTATTGTTCAATTTGGACTTTCTGCCCCCCGGCGGGAAGATGAAAGTGTCTAGGGGCGCCAAGAAGGACATAACGAAGCGGAGGAAGGACAAGAAGGAACACAAGCAGGAACAGAAGCAGAAGAAGGAGGAGGGGCAGATATCAGGACAGCAGCAGGATGAAGCTCGAGAGGGACAAGACAAAGAGGACGCGCAGGTCAATGAAAACACAGCCCTCGATTCGGAGCTAAATGAACAAAAGGTGGTTACCATTTTAAGGACAGACGAAGTTGGTAGCACGAGTGGTGAGGAGGCAGGTAGTAGCAAGGTTGAATCCAAGGAGGAGATTAATAATGGTACAGCTGACAATGTAGAAAAGGATTTACCTCCGAGTGACGATCTGCTTATGGAGGCGAGTCTTGTTGAGAGTGAGGGAGAGCCCCTGCTTGGTGAGCAGCATGAGTATCGTCAACAGAGCAAGGATAACACGGACGATGTGAAGACAGACACAGTCATTTCTGCTAACGTTGATGAAGTGGACGAATGTATGGAGCGCTTAGTTCAGTCAATTACAAATGAGACGAAGGGGGGTCCTACTACAGGGGAGGACGAGGAGGAGGAGGGTCATACCAGCCTGTGGGAAGACAATCTGGGGGCTCTCACCCAAGGAAGCATCACTCAGGACGAATCGGACGTACCTGTAACAAATGCACAAAATGACGGAGCAAAATTAAATCATACGAAAGAAGAAACAAATGATGAAGAGAGCAAATTCGAGAGGAATAAAAAGACAACGAAGATAGTTCCCATGCAAGGCGAAACGGAAATGGCACATGTACAGAAGGACTCACTAAATGAAGTACCGTGTAGTAACAATACAGATGGTCATGTGGATGGAGAGGAAAAGAATGAAGCAGCACTCTGTACCAAGTCCAGTAGAAATTATAAGACCGTTTTGAAGAAAGGCATGTCTGTAATAAAAGTTGTGCATTTTAATGTGGATAGAAGAAAGCATAGGAGGAGCAAAACTGGGGGCGTACAAAATTTCATGTCCATGAGGAGGAGAGGTGTGCAGGCAGAAAATGGGGCCAACGGAATGGGTGAAGTGGTCGATGGACTGTACGAAGCGACCAATACATTTCACAGAGTGAATATTCCCCAGCTGCTCAGACTTAAGAGCTCCATCATTACAGGTATTTGCTAACGCCTCGATGGGCTACATAAATTGGAGGCGTCTGTTTTTTTTTTTTTTTTTTTTTTGTCACACGCAGAGAGTTGCATTTGTCGAAAGTTCACACTTGCCACTGGTGTGGATGGATCCCTGTGGTGTATGAACATGTTCCTTTATATATGTCTTTTTTTTTTTTTTTTTTTTTTTTTTTTT